ACAACACGTTCTTATTTCAAAGGAGACACAGTCCTCAGTATCACACTTCGGTTGTTTCCAATACTATCCTTTGGAAATGTTTACAAGTCCTCCGAAGTTTCGTTTTAATGTTGCAGATTTATATATTCGCCTTCCGTTTTTTCATATTAAATTGAAGGGTTTTCCTGTGCAGATATGACAGCTGCGTCGGACAAAAACCTTTCTTTACTAACATGAAAAGTATTCTACGAATGATCGTTGGACAGAAAACGGGACGCATTGGCCTGGGTAAGGATTGCTTAAGAAGTCAGGCATGTCACTGGATTCCATGTTCCTGTGGTGACAGATGGGTGCAAAAAAAAAAAGGGGGGAGGGGCTGGGATGTTTGGGCTGTCCACTGAAGTGATTTCCCCAATCTGCCCATGGTTTAAAACAATCTCTAACCTGTTTTTTTTTTCTTTCATATGTTCGATGAGTTGGCCATGCGCACCTGCTTCCTTCACGGCCGTCATTACACTAATTATGTTTTTTGGCGCTTTCAACGCAATAAGATTGTTTAACAAACTCCTAAAGGCAAGGTTTTTTCGAAAAAAAAATCTTTATAAAATTTATTATCAAGCAATGTAAGGTGAGTCTCAAAATGGAACAAATCATGCATACAAAGAACGCATCTTATATAAGAATCGCAATTACTGCTTTCCCTCACCCACCAAGGCTCGAAAACCGCATTTTTTTTTTTGCACGCCCCTGAACTACATTAATATTCTAACGTACCAACCTGGGTTTTATACCGCAGATTTCTGACACCTACTATCTCCGTTGAAACAAAAGAAAGTAATACGCACCAAACTAACTGACGAAAAATTTTGAAGACTCTCTTTTAGCGCAGTTATCAGGAATTTTTATTAATTAATTTTATTATTAGCGTTAAAACTAGCTTTGGGAGATAATGGTAAAGGGGGGGGGTGGCTAACAATTGGAAAGAATGTGTTGTCATTGGCAACGAGCCTATGCGCCGAATTTCAGCTAGATAAGATGACGGCAAGTGGTTCAATTAGCCGTCCATAAATCTTGCTTCAAACACAGAAACACACAAAGAGTGGGGGGGTGGGGGTGGTGGGGTGGGTGGTGGCGGTGAATGTGACGTTAATGTAAAGGATTTAAAAAATCGGAACGTTTGTGCCAGGGCGAACTGAGTGGTTTTATTTTAGTTGATTTATTTTCAAGTCGGTGTAGGTCGACAGTCTAAATCATTTGAAAGATGTATTTATTAATTCTTGAACACGTTAAAGTGAAATGATTTTTAAAAAAACTAAAAACTAGACTTTTCGTATCCTTTATATCCATTCTTCCCCCCCCCCCTTTTATCTTCCCTTTGAAAGAGGGAGTTAATCATTTTGAGGGGTCGGGGTGGGGCTGAAAATTTAGCAGAATGTATTGTCGTCGGCAGCGATTCTATGTGGCCAAGCTTGATAGGATGACTGAAAGTGGGTCATTGAGCCTTTGAAAGATTTTTATAGAAGCACATGAAAACACAAACACTAGCGAAGCTAATATAAAGGATTTTAAAAGGATTTATAGTGGATCCCAACAAAAATGACAGGAAACCTATTAAACACAATGGGATCGAAAAGTTCTCCGGAAAGTATATGGACCAAAAAAGGATGAAAATGGATGGACAATACGGACCAACCAGGGATTGTAAAGTCTATTTCCGGATCCCACTCTAGTAGCAGAAATAACAAAGGGTATGCTACGCTGGGCTGGACATTAGAGAGAATGCCAAATGACACAGGAGTGACAGGGCACATCAACAAGATCCCAGAGGAAAACGGCTGAAAAGCAGACCTAGGCTTAAATGGATGGATGGTCTTGAAAAACGTCTGCAGCAGCTGGTGATCCAGGCATGGAAAAGAAAGGCATCAGTTAGGTATGAGTGGAAGGAAGTGGTGAGGCATGAAAGCCCTATATGGGATGTATTGTCACAGGGGTGGATGGATAGGTCTGAGTGGAAGGAAGTGGTTATGCATGAAAGCCCTATATGGGATGTAGTGTCACAGGGGTGGATGGATAGGTCAGAGTGGAAGGAAGTTGTGAGGCAGACCAAAGCCCTACATGGGCTGCAGCGCCACAGGGATGGATGGATAGGTGTGAGTGGAAGGAAGTGATGAGGCAGACCAAAGCCCTATATGGGCTGTAGCGCCACAGGGATGGATGGATAGGTCTTTGTGGAAGGAAGTGGTGAGTCAGGTCAAAGCCCTACATGGGCTGAAACGCCACAGGGCTGAATGGATAGAAAAGTAAATAATATTTTCTTTATCTTCAACATAGGAAATGTATATATACATAGAAATTCAGTCAAATATTCTTTAAAAAATACTATATTTAAGAGTGGTTAAAGTGGAGATTATCTGACCTCCCAAGCAAGACTGTTTGCAGACGATACGTTTGTGTACAGGACGCTCGCAAACAATACTGACCAGGACCAGCTACAACATGATCTCTATCGGTTAGCTGAGTTGGAGAAGAGCTGTGACATGGAATTTAATCCTGCCAAGTGCCAGTACCTGTCAGTCTCCAGAAGTAGAACATTCTACATTACCCTTTCGAACTGATTAGTCATATGCTTGAGCCAGTTTCCTCCGGAAGATACCTCGGAGTTACCATTCAAAGATAGGTCCACTGGGACGAGCACTTTAAACATGTGTGCAGCCGGGAAAACAAGACCCTAGGGTTCCTAAGGCAAAAACTAATGATCGGCATTTCAAGCGTTATAGAAAAAAGCCCATAAAAGCCTTTGTCCGGCTTCTTTTAGTCTACGCATCTTCAGTCTGGGACACATTCACCCAGAGGAGCCTCGACAGGTTGGAGGCGATCCAGTGACGGGCAGCACGCTTTGTCCTGAACTGGTACAGGAACACCTCAAGTGTTGGCAGCATGCTGGAAACATTGAGCTGGTCACCATTGGAGGAACAACGACGATTATCCAGGCTCTCCGTGATGTACAAGATAAAAAAAGAATGTGCTCCCTCCCCCCCCCCTAGACAGCGACGAGGCCATGACAGGTAGTTCTGGCTCATAAGAACAAGCACACAGTACAGGAACTGCTCATTCCTGCCAAAGATAATAAGGGACTGGAACAGAATAAGCTTTCAAAACGAACAGTCTATCGCCTCCTGCCTTCCAACCCCAAGTTCCTAATACCCTCGCTGAGTAGCCCGTGCAGCCAGTGAAGTATCCCCTTCAAGACCATGCACATAGCAAACCCCCTCTACCGACATAGGAACCAGAATGAAAAACGCTTTCATCGTGGGCCCTCAAAAAATAGAAGAAGAAGAAATCAAAATTCAGTTTGTAGCATGTGTTAACTAATGTTAAACCGTATGCAGTAACATTTAAACTCCTCATTTCAATTGAGTTATCGACTGATTGTATCTTTTTTTGTTGTTGTTTTTTTTTTTTTTGGGGGGGGTGGGGTTGGGGGGGGGGGGGTTATCATCATCAGGATCATCATCACGTCCCTTAGTCCTTTAACCGATAGGGTGCCACACGTGACATGTGAACCATCCTCCTTCATTCGTCTCTGTCTTCAGCACTACAGGGGGGGGGGGGGGTGGGGGGGGGGGTGTTATCATCATCAGGATCATCATCACGTCCCTTAGTCCTTTAACCGATAGGGTGCCACACGTGACATGTGAACCATCCTCCTTCATTCGTCTCTGTCTTCAGCACTACGCACTGCATCGCCCAGTTTTAGTCCGGTCCACTCTTTGATGTTGTCCTGCCATCTTTTTCTTTGTCTTCCTCTTCTTCTCCCTCCTCTTGTGGTGCCCTGCAACATTTTCTTGGCAAGCCCTTGTTTCCTTGTTACGTGGCCGTACCACCGTAGTTTGCGTTTTTTTTCACAGTCACCAGTAGGTCATCGTACTCCCCAATTACCTGACGAACCCTTTCTTTCACTTTATCATTGGAGATATTGTCCCTATAGCAGATAACGAAAATGCTTCTGAAGCATCTCATCTCCACCGCCTTTATTTTCCTTTCAAGATCTGCTGTTAATGTCCAGGACTCGCAGGCATACAGGAAAATGGAGAGGACCAAAGACCGCATCAGCCTAATTTTTTAGCTATATTTTTGTCGTTACATATTTTCTTGAGCCTCTTTAGTGCTGCTGCAGTCTTCGCAATCCTGGACATCAGGTCGGGCCTGGAGCTTTCTTCTGAGACTATTGCTCCTAGGTATTTGAAGCTGCTTACAGTCTCTAGTCTTTCCTCTCCGACCTTAATTTCAGTGGCGATCCCTGTGGTGTTAGGATGTACCTTTTCGGGCCACTTTAGGCGGGGGTATTTGTTTCTAGATAACACGGTGTTAAAATACTATGGAAGACATTGTCTTGTCTTTTTTTTTTTTTACTTTTAATTGTTCCCATTATTTTGTCTTTTTTTTTCGTTCATTTATTTGTTTTCTTTTTTAAGCGTCTGCACCACCAAGTTCCATTACGTTAATTATAGATTAATTATCCTTTCCTTTTTCTTTTAAACAGTTTTAAGCCAACGCTGTACAAAATTGTTTGCGCATGCGGGAACGAATTATTTTCAAATCTTAAATCTCCTAAAAAAAACGCCATACAATTATTAAAATAAATAAGGACTGCTTTCAAAGCTGTGAGAAGGAAAGAGTGGAACAAGTATGCCCGAAGCTTTGAAATATGGTATAGACAAGATGCTTACTAGAACATGATGAGCTAAGCCGGTTCATTCAGCCCATCTTCTCCGTCTCCGTCTTTGACATCCGGGCCGTTCCGCCATTACGAGCGCGTGAAATCATCACACTCCCCCCCTCCCCCCTCCCCCCCCCCAAATTAACATAACAATGCCGGGAGATTACAACGTGTGTACATTCCTGTCATCCCAAAACAGCCATTCACCTTGGACAGTGTTCGACATAGCCCGGAGATCTGTTGCCGCGCCCGTCTTTAACTGACAAATCCCACATCGCCCGCTCTCGGTCCGTGATAGCATCTCTGAGTTCAGCTATTTGTAGTGAGGCAAAGGTTGTAGTTTGAGGTGACATCGTTCGACTGGTAAGTGTTCAATACTATCTCCGGTTAATGCGATTCAAAAAAAAAAATAATAATAATGTTATGGTTTTTTGGGTAATGTAAGTGACCGCGTAGCCAGAAAGGAAATTTTATAGCCAGAAATATTGCGTTAAAAATTAGGATTTTTAATTTGTTATTCTCCGTGTCCAGTTCTGAAAAACAAAAATGAAAAAGTAAACACAAAAAAAAAAAAAATTATAAAAATTTGAATATGAGAACATCTTAGAAAATTTGAATTTTAGAACATCTTTAAAGAAAAAGTAACATTGATGGCCTTACCCAAAATAATGACATTTTTGAAAAGGAAATTTTATAGCCAGAAATATTGAGTTAAAAATTAGGATTTTTAATTTGTTATTCTCCGTGTCCAGTTCAAAAAAACAAAAATGAAAAAGAAAACAAAAAAAAAAAAAAAATTATAAAAATTTGAATATGAGAACATCTTAGAAAATTTGAATTTTAGAACATCTTTAAAGAAAAAGTAACATTGATGGCCTTACCCAAAATAATGACATTTTTGAGGTAGCATATAAAAGACTTGAACTTTTAAGGATGTTGGCATTTAAGCTTAATATCTTAAATAAAAGTTTGAATAAATATTTCTTCATTCCTGCTTTTGGCGGATGTGAGAATATGAAAGACTTGATTTCACTTAATGTATTTCAAGTGTTTACATTGACTTTAAATATCTGTTTTTGATTTAAACTTACAAACAAAAAAAAAACAATTTAAAAAGTTTTAATTTAAAAAAAAAATTTTGTATTTAAAATTATTTTAAAAGAAATAATCAAGATCTCCGATAGGCAAATGTTATAATACTTGTGTACAGCTCATTCAATTAAATTTAATAGGCTATCGCAATCTCAACAAGGTAAAGGAAGAATATTTAGTTTGAACAGCAAATTACCCCGCCCCCCCCCCCAACAACACGGCCCATTATAGGTATGCAAGTATTGCGCCCAAAGCCTTGACAGGCACGCACTCTATGAAGACGTAGCATTAACTCATCTAGAGGTCACGCACTCTATGAAGACGTAGCATTAACTCATCTAGAGGTTCATAAGTCTTTCTATACAAATTGCAGCATACATTTTTTTGTTCGTTCATGCACACTCAGAATCCCCAAGTCCTTCTTGCCATTCCTCAGGTGTACTTTTTTTAACGTTAAAAAATACACATTTCTGTCCTTACATACAACATATCAGGTATTGAAATGAGGACATGGCCTAACAAAGTTCCTTTTTATGCCTTCATTTTTATTTTATTTTTCATTTGCATAAAACCGTTCAAATGTGTCCTGAGGAAGCTCAATATGTTAATGAAAGCTTTGCCAATGAAACCTCGAGACTAATTACAGTAACTTATTGATCTGTTACGTATAAAGATATGTCGGTACGTTACGGTAACAACTTGTAAACATTGTCACACCACCAACACCAACAACACCACCAACATCAACATCAACAACAACAACAACAAAAAATCGATAATTTTTCTTTGTCGTACCGCCACGTAAGAAAGTTGAAATTTTTTTTTTTTTTGAAATAAATTTCTTTTATAAAATACGTCAGTAATTGGAATTGTGATTTGTTGCCCTACTAAGATTTTAAACTGTTTTTAAAGGAGTTAACAGTGTGTTAATTCCGCTTTTGCTTTCCATAAACATTGACCAAATGATGATTGTTGGCTTTCAGTTTTGGCAAACCAATTCAGTGTTCCTTTTTTTTTTTTTTTTTTCAATACAAAAAAGACAATCTGACGGAATTGATTGAAAAAGCTAAAAATGCGCCATTTGTTTCGCGTCCTCCTGGTTGTTTCCTCCTTTGCCAGCAGTTTGGCTGAATCAGCCTTTGGTAAGTAGCACTAGTTGTCGCTGTTGCCAGTAGGTTGGCTAAATCAGCCTTTGGTAAGTAGCACTAGTTGTCGCTGTTGCCAGTAGGTTGGCTAAATCAGACTTTGGTAAGTAGCACTAGTTGTCACTGTTGCCAGTAGGTTGGCTAAATCAGCCTTTGGTAAGTAGCACTAGTTGTCACTATCGCCTGTAGGTTGGCTAAATTAGCCTTTGGTAAGTAGCACTAGTTGTCACTGCTGCCAGTAGGTTTGGCTAAATCAGCCTTTGGTAAGTAGCACTAGTTGTCGCTGTTGCCAGTAGGTTGGCTAAATCAGCCTTTGGTAAGTAGCACTAGTTGTCGCTGTTGCCAGTAGGTTCGCTAAATCAGCCTTTGTTAAGTAGCACTAGTTGTCACTATCGCCTGTAGGTTGGCTAAATTAGCCTTTGGTAAGTAGCACTAGTTGTCACTGCTGCCAGTAGGTTTGGCTAAATCAGCCTTTGGTAAGTAGCACTAGTTGTCGCCGTCGCCTGTAGGTTGGCCAAATCAGCCTTTGGTAAGTAGCATTAGCATACACTCTGGTCTTATAGGTTGGTTAATTAGTGTAGCATTATTTAAGGCTGTATGGAAAAGTCCGCACAGAATCACTAACCATTAAGTTCCAACCTTACTAATAACTTAAAGTCATTAAACACTACAGAATCATGTTTTACTTGCACACGGTCGTGTCAGTGAAATAACGTTGATGAAGAGCACGCAGTTGTTGAAATAATTTAACAAATCCATTAAAGTTTTAATAGTTAATCCATTCACATCCAACGGTTGCCTTCAAACGTTAATGCAATGCCTTTAAATTGTTATATATTAAGTCATTTCAATATGTATTGTTGTAGTCATATCTATTAATGCTATTGTTGTTATTATTATTTTTATTTACTCTGTTGGTTTACATTTTTTATATCTTTTGATAATTTCTAGTCTGTAGTCCTTCCCTTACTAATAAGTAGCTTTTCCAGGTTTGTGTTTAAACCAGACAGCTACATATGTAGCTGTCAATGACCCTACTTAACAACCCTAAGAATGACCCTTTTAACCTCCCCTGTCACATACCAGTTTAACCTCCCCGATCGGTGAACCTTATAATCTTCCCTATGGAATATCCTTATTACCTCACCATCAATGTCCCTACTTAAGACCCTTATCGATAACCCTTATTATCCCCCTTTAAAAAAAAAAATCTCATAGCATCCCATTTTGATGAAGCTTAAGGCAATACCTTTCGATAACCATTATTACCTCCCTTTCGCCATCCCTAAATACGTCCGTTTCGATGACACTTCTTCAGTCCCCTTTCGAGGACCCCTATTGCCGCCTTTCGCTGATCCTTGTCACCTCCCCTATGGACGACGCCCCCCCCCCCCATTACAGCGGCAGAGCACACGCCTGAACTCCAGTCCCCACCGACTTCTTCAGTCCCCTTTCGAGGACCCCTGTTGCCGCCTTTCGCTGATCCTTGTCCCCTCCCCTATGGACGACGCCCCCCCCCCCATTCCCAAGACCTCATTAATCCAATGCTGTTTCCACGCTTCAGTTAACCCTTTCTGCGTTGACTCCTGCAACGGTCAAGCCGACGGTCAATACATGGACTGCAACAGATGCGACAAGTTCATCATGTGCTGGTCAAGTCAGTTCAGCGTCATGCCATGTCCCGCCAAAACCCAGTACGACGGACGATTGGGTGTATGCGGCGACGTTAACGACGCCTCGTGCAGGTGAGTCCATATCAGTCAAATTGGGGGTGTGTCCGCTCAGCCTCCTGCGGGTGAGTCCATATCAGTCGAATTTAGGGGTGTGTCCGCTCAGCCTCCTGCGTGTGAGTCCATATCAGTCAGATACGTGGGAAAAGGGGGGGGGGGGAGTGTGTTGAACTGTTTCGGGTTTCTTGGAAATGAGTAAAACAAAGTTTGGGAAAACCTGAACAAAAAAGAAACGCAACAACAACACGACGCTCAGCCTCCTGCGTGTGAGTCCATATCAGTCGGATACGGGGGAAAAGGGGGGGGGGGAGTGTGTTGAACTGTTTCGGGTTTCTTGGAAATGAGTAAAACAAAGTTTGGGAAAACCTGCAAAAAAAAGAAACGCAACAACAAGACGACGAACGTGTTGGCGGGAAGCATTCGTCAGCGAATAAACAACAACAACAACAAAAAAAAAAAAAGCAGATTGAAATGAATGCAGCGCCTAGCTAAAAAGTAATATCCTAGAGGATAGCAAAAGAATTGTGACCATAAGTAGATGAGAGATTAAATACAGGCAAAAAAAAATGGAAAGAAAAGGAGGTGATGTCAGTCCACTGCGACTGGTCGTGACGTGAAGGGGCGGAGCAAAGATTACATGACATTCATGCCATGTGGTGTCAAGGTCTCCCTATTATTACCATTAGGTTTATCGGGGACGTCTTTCCCTTCTCAAACACAGCAGAATCACAATGAGATGCGACAGTCTTCACTGAAGAACCTCTTTATTAAGATTTAATATTGTTTTTTTTTTGTTTTTTAATTCATCAATAAAATAATGTTCTAATTGTATAAATTAAATTAACAATTTTATTATTTTTTTAAATCTCAACTTAAATGTTAGCCACATCCCGATAAACCGAACAAGTGAATGGAAACACAACTTGATCACTTAAGTGGAATCTTGAATCACTCGATCGAATGTGACTGGCTCCCTTCATATTGTTCTACTCAGAAACTCTCAGCCCAATTGTTTAATAAATGTCATAGAAACAACTGTTCCAATTGTATGTTTTTCTTCTTCCTGGGTCCAGTTCAGGGCAGCGCGCATCACCGCTAAGACCAGGGACAGGTGGATACCAACCGTCAGCAGGTAAGTCCGGTCACATGACCCCCCCCCCGCCACTAAGTGACTTATTTTATTGCCGATGGCAGCAGTGGCACCAGAAGAGGGGTGCGAAGGGTGTTGTTTTTTTTAATCTTTTTTTATATTGAGAGGTGGCAGTTTAGTCAGCTGCAGATTATGTTACGTGGAAGTGGGCGGTGAAAATTTTGCGCCCCCCCCCCCGGGCTGCACTAACCCTAGCTTCGCCATTGGAGGAAAGTACGTTTGCAGATATATTGTTATAATGCACGTTATCTTTATCTTATAGACCCTACACACACACACATACACCAAATACACACACGAACACTGCGGACTGTAATGAGTGATAGCCATTTTCCATCATTTTTGTGTTACCGCCTTCAGTGTCCACAATCTCAAGGATACACTAACAAACCTATATTTTAAGATCGCCTCTTAACGCAGTGCCTCAAGACTTCCACGTCGCATCCACTGTTACTTTTGGCGCCATCAAGTATGCCCAAGCTTGACCAAATACGCTGCTGAAGTTACCATAGAACCCCACCCTACCCCCAACGGCCCAGCTGTCACATCACTATGTGTTATTCTGTTGCCTCTGTAATGATGTGCGGCTGTGTTGTTTGATTCAAAAGCTTAGGTTGATAAGTCCAAACTTGTATCGCCCTGTTTCGTAAGCTTTGACCAGTTTTTATTTTCTCTTAACAGGAGAGCCTTCCGGTAGCTCTACCAATCCCAATGGATATAATCAGCCAAGTGGATCATATCAACCAAGTGGATCGTATCAACCAAGTGGCTCGTATCAACCAAGTGGATCGTATCAACCAAGTGGATCGTATCAACCAAGTGGGTCATATCAACCAAGTGGACAATATCAACCAAGTGGGTCATATCAACCAAGTGGATCATATCAACCAAGTGGATCTAATCAACCCAGTGGGGCATATCAACCCAGTGGGTCATATCAACCCAGTGGATCAAATCAACCAAGTGGGACATATCAACCCAGTGGATCATATCAACCCAGTGGGTCAAATCAACCAAGTGGAGCCAATCAGCCAAGCGGATCATATCAACCCAGTGGGTCATATCAACCAAGTGGAGCCAATCAGCCAAGTGGATCATATCAACCCAGTGGATCAAATCAACCAAGTGGGGCATATCAACCCAGTGGATCATATCAACCCAGTGGGTCAAATCAACCAAGTGGAGCCAATCAGCCAAGCGGATCATATCAACCAAGTGGGCCATATCAACCAAGTGGAACCAATCAGCCAAGTGAATCATATCAACCCAGTGGATCATATCAACCCAGTGGGTCATATCAACAAAGTGGATCCAATCAGCCAGGTGGATCATATCAACCAAGTGGGTCATATCAACCAAGTGGAGCCAATCAGCCAAGCGGATCATATCAACCCAGTGGGTCATATCAACCAAGTGGAGCCAATCAGCCAAGTGGGCCATATCAACCAAATGGGTCATATCAACCAAGTGGTTCAAATCAGCTTGGTGAATATAATCCATCTAGTGGACGCTACAAACCGAATGGATTTTATCCCCATAATAAACCAAGTGGAAAGTACCCCACAAAGGGAACCTACCCACCAAATGGGTCATATCAACCACCTAATCCCCCAGGTTATCAACCAGCCAGTCCACCAAATTATCAACCAGCCAACCCACCGAATTATCAACCTGGTTATCCGGGAAATTATCCACCATCTAATCCACCCAGTTATCAACCACCCAGTCCACCCAATTATCAACCAGCTTACCCATCAATTTATCAACCAACAATTCCACCTAATTATCAACCAGCGATTCCACCTACATACCAACCCCCTAATCCACCTACATACCAACCCCCTAATCCACCTACATACCAACCCCCTAATCCACCTACTTACCAACCCCCTAATCCACCTACATACCAACCCCCTAATCCACCTACTTACCAACCCCCTAATCCACCTACATACCAACCCCCTAATCCACCAACATACCAACCCCCTAAGCCACCGACATACCATCCTGGTGGACAGCCCTCCTATCAGCCCAGCAGCCCCCCATCAAGCCCCACCGGCTACCTGCCGTCCGGGTCTGGTCAACCACCCCAACCCCCCGTGTACTCCCCCGACCCGTCGTACGCCTCACCGCCGGCCAACCCACCGGCCGGTTCGGGCGTCGGTCAGCCATCTTCTGGTTCTAACTACTACAACCCGATTAACATCAGTCCACCTCCCGTGACCCAACCAGGTGCGCAGGTCATCACTGGGAACATGGAGACGAACGGTAAGTGCTATGGCCTACAATAACTGATCTCATTAACCAGGATTCACTTAATTTAAGTACGGCTGCTTGCAGACTATCTTTCAAATTGATACAATGTATTCTGTTAGATAAAGTTGTTTTTTTTTTTTTTTAAATTTTTAAAGATATTTTAAAAATTGTAAAACGTGCTCACTTGAACATACGTTTATAAAGTTACGGTTGCACATCCGGGTGTATCACTCCTCCGTCTAGCAAGGGGTTAAAAACCCAAGGATATTAATCCTCCGTCTTGAAATCAAATGGTTCAAAATACAAGTGAATTCCTCCTACTCCTACTTACGGCTGTCCTAAATTCCGGTTTTAAACAGTTTCTCGGAGAGCAGCTAAGAAAGAATAACGATTGATGTCCTTATTTATCGCTTGACCAGTTCACGACCTTGACCAGCTGGTCTTAAGCTTCATTCACTACATGTTTATGTTGTTGTTTATGAGTTGACCATGTCTGAGGCCCCATTCGATGCATGTGTATGTTGTTGTATATGAGTACACTATGTCAACAATAAATCAATAGATGCAAAGTATAATATATTGTTGTATTTGAGTTGGCATTGTCTTAGTATTGGATAAGGCTTTGCCAAGCCATTTGAGTAGGCCTTGTCATCTTATTTGAGTAGGCCATGGCATCTTATTTGAGTAGGCCTTGTCATCTTATTTGAGTAGGCCTTGTCAACTTATTTGAGTAGGCCGTGTCATCTTATTTGAGTAGGCCGTGTCATTTTATTTGAGTATGACTTGTCATCTTATTTGAGTATGCCGTGTCATCTTATTTGAGTAGGCCGTGTCATCTTATTTGAGTAGGCCGTGTCATCTTATTTGAGTAGGCCGATTCATCTTATTTGAGTAGACCTTGTCATCTTATTTGAGTAGGCCGTGTCATCTTATTTGAGTAGACCTTGTCTTAGGGACCATTCACTAAGATATGCATGATGTTGTATTTGAGTAGGTTTTCCACTACAACGAATTTATCTATTTCACCAGCTCATTTCTTTCCCCCTTTCGTCCGCAGTCGGCCAGGGGGTTGATCTCACCAGATACGGCTACGCCTACGAGAATTTCCAGCCCACGTCCGCCCCTGCCCCGCGGACCTGCTCAAACTGCAAGACGTCCTGCGCCGAGGTGAGCAGCACCACCAAGGTCATCGTGTCGTGTGCCGACTGCTGCTACATCGACTGCGTCACCGGGTACAGAGTTTGTCCGTAGAACTTTGGACGCCGCGTCCTGAAGCTGAAGCTTACGTCGTGTTTGTAAATGGTGACCAGAGTGCATGGACAGACATTGACTGAGATGCGTTTGTAGGCAAAAATTTGGGGGATTCCCGATCATCTGAAAACAAAAGCTACTTCAACTTTGTTTGATTTTTTGGTGTCCGCTCACATTGGCTCTTGCATTGATTTATATATATATATATATGTATTTTTTTTTTTTTAAATTTTGCAGAAAGTTATTAATCTTTCTATGTTGTTGGTTTTTCTCAGGAAAATATAAATAAAAAGAAAAGGCTATTATATTTTTTTCTTTTACAATTAAATTTTAGTATCGTAGCTGAAAACAGTTTTATTAATTTTTTTTTTATTTTTTAAAGAAATGTCACAAATTATGGATTGTTTTGTTTTTTTTAAATAGATTTTATTCCATAATTTTATTATTCGCGGATGCCCAAATTTGTTCCATCATTTTAGCATCTCTCTCTCTCTCTCTCTCTCTCTCTCTCTCTCTCTCACTTTCTCTCTCTGAAAGACTTCCAATTATGATTACTAAATAGTTTTTCATCTGCAAACCTTCTGCTTTTCAAATGCAAAAATGTTTGTCTATTGAATAAAATACAAATACGTTTATTAGCTTAGTGTAGTTTTTTTTCCTTCCAATTCCAAATTTAATAAATTTCATCGATGTAATTAATTAGCACTCATATTTCTATATTTCTGAGGGGGGGGGGAGCATTCTTTTTATTTAATATTAAACATCAAAACATGCTGAATTTCGTTTTTATTTTGTCCATATTTTGCTTGGTGTGATGTCTTTTCAACTTGAAGTGGAGCATAGCGCCTTCAGCTATTTCGTTTGATGCTTTCCGATCTTTGGCAATCTGCTACAACTCTTTCCAGCGCTTTCCGGGCTTAATTAAGTCCTTTTATACCTTTCTATGCACGGTCTACGCTAGACGTTTTCGTAGTTGTTTTTTTTTTTTTGTTGATTTTTTTTTTTTTTTTTTTTTTTTTTTTTTTTTTGTTTGTTTTTTTTTTTTTGGGGGGGGGGGGAGTGGGGGCATTGTTCCCTTTAAGCTTCGCGGCTGCGCGGCCGCGCAGCTATCTCACAGACGCCGTGCAGGAGTTTTGCGTATCCGCGCAGCAAATTTCCATGTGAGTGTGTGTTGGTATTTGTGGGGCTGTACAATTTTGCACGCGAAAAAATGATGCTGTAAAGCTTTGCACACAACTGTATGACTTAGCACACGAACCAACAAACCTTAGAGGCGACATTTGGTGGGGGAGTGGGGTGGGTTGCATCCACACCCCCCCCTCCCCCGTTGCATCCTTCCTTCTTGATCCTTGAAGAGTTCTATCCCTGTGCGTGCTTGCCTATACTTGACACAATATGTTTTGTCAATTAGAAGGGCCCAGTAGAAAAGTAATTAAGTTACTATTTTTCCAAAATGAGTTAAGCCTGGCATTATATTTTGTTACTTCCACTGAATCATTCCTGTAAATATTATTCATAAAAAATGTACATATGTGTATGATTTAGAAATACCTCGAGCAGCTTTTAGCGTATTTAACTAAATCAGTTTTTCTCAAAACTTCAAAATTAAACTTAAGTACTTTTTCTACTTGGCCCTTCTGTTCATCTCCACTTTCCTCTCCGTACTTCTCGCTCCACTGGGATTTTGACTGACATCTCCCACAAGGCCGTGAGACTGTGATTTTGTGAGACCACTTGAAGTTGAGGATTCTCCGCAGGTAATCTCTTCGCGAAGGTTCGAATTCTTTTCTCCAGTCTTTATTAGTTGATCTCCAGCTTCCTGGGCCACACAGCAGAACAGACTTAACATTTATGAGTTTAAAATAATAATTTTATTTTAGAATTATCATTTCCTGGACAAAAATATAAGTATGCTTATATGAGCTCATTCATCGTTTAATATGAATGCTCAATATAATCCGTATTATAGTTGGGGGGAGGGGGGTGGGTTGTTATTCAACCAAAAAAAAACTATTGAGGTATATGGACTGACGATGATATAAATATTTTTGTATAAAGCTTCGTTATTAGTATGCATTTATTTCATTTATAATATATGAGGAGTCCTATTGCAAACCTTGTTAAGTCGAATTTTTGGAGCAAAAAAAAATGAGTTTGTCCACTTGACTCCTCTTTGAAGTTTTATTCTTCTCTATCATAAATTTGCTACCCCAAAATCGAAAGCGAGGATTTCCTGGCGACAACCAAGAATAAAAGCAATAGGATTTGTACTGGGTTTTATTTTTCAAATTTTATCTATTTCGTAAAATCTATTTAACTCATTTAGTTTGTCTTGACACTATTGAAAAGATCTTCGGTATCAACGTACCCACGAATTAATAAGAGTAATACATGTATGATCCTTGGTTAATAATAAAATGAATATATTAATTCTCACAGTAAGGGAAATGGGCCAAATAATTCGTTACTTGCTGAATTAGATGTATTACTAATTTATAATACTGATATTCTGTTTTAATTGAATATAATTAAATAGAAGTAGATATATATTTTAAAAAAAATAAAATTTAAATTGATTCGATAAGAAAATTCCTATCTTTGTTATTTTAAAAAACAGAACGTATTAAAATTGATTCGTTTTTTAAGTGTTTCATGCTCAGCTGGGCTTAGTTTCTGCTTGTACAGAGAGGAAAAGAATATAATAGTCCAAATAATTCTATAACTTTTAAAAAATTAATATTATAATAATACTTCCAGAATAAAAATTACATCTACTTTAATGTAAGTAAATATATTTTATTTTTACCAAAAGTAAATTGATTTGATTAGTAAATGCGCATCATTGTTTTTAAGAATCTGAACTTATTTAAATTGATTTGTTTTTTAAAGCATTTCATAGTCTGCTTAGCTCTTTCTTATATATATATATATATATATATATTATGTTCCCGCCTTTTTGAAAATGAAGAGATACCTTTATATCTGTTTCAAAAGACGCACTTGTGGATGTTATAAATAATGTCAAAAGAATTAAAGTATAACTGCTAATACCACAAATACGTGGGCCCGTTTCTTCACTGCTGCTTAGCCCCCATAACTGTTGCATGAATATTTGAGTAACTGCAGCCTTTGATGTAAGCGTTACCCTTCTAAAATTTAAGACACAGCTTTAGCCAAGTCTCTGGTCAATTCAAAGTAAGTTTTCAGATAGCGTCATGGTGGTGATCAAGGGGTAATTCCACCTCCTGAAAATCAATTGTTCTGCAAGGTTTGGGTGACGGAGACGTGCTCGCTACTTTTTCTTGAAACAGCTGTTGACATTGTAATGTTTAAACGTCTCTCCCTGTAGTCCCTATAGCAGGTCTATTGCATTGATACGTTGTCCAATATTAAGGATTGCCTAAAGGTATTACTACAATAGGCATTTGGGCCTGAAACTAAATTAATAATAATTATTCAGTGGCCGATTAATCGGTAATCGGTCGATTTGGAAAATTGGGACTAGCTTTTTCCAAGACAGTTTGACACGGAGTTCAATGAAACATCAACAACTCCTGCGGCACTGCGGGTGCCTTGCTGCGTCGTCGCTCCTTTAAATCGATTATGTATGGCTCGGGAGACAGATTATTCTCCATTATGAGACAATCCCTGCATCAAAGTAGAGAATTTCTTTTGACTTCCAGCAATCCAAAAGGAAATTAATCAATGGATTTCTTTTTTTTTTTAAAGAACCGGGAATTTTGGTTGGTTAAACAATTTTTATAATTAAATGGAATGTACAAAAATCATGTGGTTGACTTCAATAAAAAATATTTAAATACAACAGATAATCGTCGCCATGAAATGAAGTTCTTAATGAACCCTTGTCAGTGCTGTTCAGCAAATGATACTTTCCTTCCATGTATCAAAAAAAAAATTGTGGCTGCATTCTGGTCCATTGAGATAATGTTATAATTTTGTGAGTAAGCCAATGTTGGCCAGGTAACATTGACAGCTTCATTTCTAAACGTCATCAGATCCTTGAAATAAATTGGTTGCATTTTATTTCTTTATTTAAAAAAAAAAGAAATTATTCGTTTGATTTGATTCATTAAATGTCCAAATATTCTAATTCATAAATAAGCTTCGTTTTTTTTTTTAATTGACATGTCCCGATTATGTTAAACTTGGTTAAACATTAAGTGATTTCCAATATTATGGTATGTCGATCTTGGGGAAAGAAATTTAAACACTTAAATAGTAAAAAAAAAACCCATAGCAATAATTTCTTGAGTACGCCTTATAATTTCAGACAGAGATTTACAGATACCTTATTGCCATTAAAAACTATAATGAGTTCGCTCTCAGAATCTTTTTCATACGGATTTTACTTACTTGGGGGACGTTATCTCGGGAGTTAAAAATTATTGCGTAACGATCTACCCCCGACACTTAGCATCCATATTTCAACGATGTAAAACCTAGAAAAATATGCGCTCAAAGAAAAAAAAACATCTAAAAATCCAACCACGACAATGAAACAAACCCTACTCCAATCACGTTACATAGCTAGTGTTTTAGACTGTTTTTGGCTCATTTTAGGTAATGTATTAAAAATCCTTACAGCTTAGTGCAGCAACGCTCCTCTTTACGTACGTGAGAGTTTGTTTGTTTGTTTGTTTTTTTGTTTTTGTTTTTTTGGGGTGGGGAATCCAACCATGAAAAACAAATAAAGCCCACAACATACAGCTTGAAATGGCTTTCGTTCGGGATCTGTTTATGTTTCATCTTGAATGTTGTTCTAAACATCTAACACATCAAGGCAACTCTCAAACCAGGCACTAGAGTGTGATGCACCCGTCAACAACGCGTACAAGATGGATTGTGTGGTGCGAAGACCAGCAGTGGTTTTTACTCTCAAAAAAAAAATTGTTTACATCATAGAATTCATAAAAACGGACATGAGTAAGGGGTTGCCCATCATGCCTCCCATGCCACCTCCAGCGCTGCCCCCAGCACCACCACCCATAAGCGACATCATCGCCATCATTTGTCCCATGTCGCTGCCTCTAAACCTGTCACACAGAAAGAAAAATAAAAGATATTACTGGGAATATTACAAAGAAATGTTAAGAGCCTTTTGTTGTTTGCTATTCGCCATAATAAAATCACATTTCTGGAAAGACTGTGACGTTCCAAGTAAGTCGT